ACACACACACACACACACACACACACACACACACACACACACACACAGAGGCAGACACAGACACAGACACAGTCAGATTCACACAATGGCCACTTATGTGACCTGGGCAAACAACACATACTCTGGGTAGTCTGTTCATTTTCAAAACTCTGCAGGCAGGCAGCAATGGCAGCATTAGCCTCAAGGATACCCCCTCCCAACACCCCTCCCCCCATTTGGCTTGCTGTTGGTCACTTTTATTAAGAGATGTCACAAAGTACCTTTTTCAGTTTCTCCTGCTTCTTCTCCTCATCGTCGCTGTCAGAACTGCTCTTTCGATGTTTCTTCTTCTTCTTTTTCTTCTTCTTCTCCTCTTTTAGTTTCTCCTGATGCAGCTGGCAGGGAGAATTAAAGGCTATGTGAATACAGAGCTCTGGCATAGGTTTCAACACCCGCCTTAGGACTTAAGTGATTCAGAGCAGAGGATCACACACTGACCTCCATGAGGGTCTGAGGTTTCTTCACAGACTCTTCTCCAGTCACATCATTTATAATACAGTCCTCTGAATTCTGTGGGAAAAGAAATATAATTTGAGTTGAAGGCTATAGTTATTAATCATTTGAAGAACAGGTTAGAATTTGAAACACAAGAAGATATGATTTAGGCAGGGTTTGACTGTCTTATACCTCTAAGAACTAGAGGACAGGGGCTTGGGGCGTGGCTTGGTTGGCAGAGTCCTCGCTTAGTCTGCAAAGCCCTGGGCCCCATCCCTAGCATCTCCCAAAGCCAGGCCTGAGCACATGTGTAACCTCAGCATCTGGGAGGTGGTGGCAGTACAGTCAGAAGCTCAGGGTCACCGCGGGCCAGAGTGACTTCTCGGCTAGCCAAGCCTACATGAAACCCCATCTTGTCCCCTTACTGATCTCCTCCACAAAGAGAAAAGCTAGAGGGTAATACTTACAACACTCTCCTTCCCAGCTTCTCCAGTACAATAGGAATACTTAAAAAAAGAGTGACAACATTTGTAGCCCCAGCGGCCTTCTTTCCAGTAAGATCCCCAGATATGCTGCAGAGAAAGAGACACAGAAGTTATTTGGAAAAGAGCCTGGGATTAGAGGCTTTCCCATCCTGCTGACAGGAGTATAAAATGATGCAGCCACCCTGACTGTATTTTCAGAGAAAAATCTTCCATTGTTGGGTAAAACAGAGACAGAGGGTGGGTCAACTTCAAATGCTGGAAAGCTGGACACGGTAGTTCTAATGGTCTAAGTTCTCTTCTCAAAAGCCTAAGCCTGGCATGATAGCATGTACCTATGATCCCAGCACACAGGAAGCAGAAGAGGGAACATTCAAGTTTGAGCCAGCCTGGGTAAAACTATGTCTCAAAAAATTGACTTTCACCCCACAACCTCCCAAACAAAATCTATGAAAAAATTTAGTATACTTGAAGTCACTTAAGTTAAGGTGTGGAGCATTCAAAGCCTAAGTTTTTACTGTTAATAAGTGGCTTTTGCTGAACAGTGCATAGACCCTTGTTAGACTATATTATGCCAACAGTGTGTGAGGTCTGTTTGGCTCATTCTACTCTACACAGTACAGCTACAGTTTGGGGGGTTTTTGATCCTTGACACAGAAAACTGTTTTGTTAGTTTAGGTTCACAACAAATGGGTTAAAGATTGTAGCTCAGTGGCAGGATATGGCTAACTATGTATGAGGCCCTGGGTTTAATCCCCAGCGCCAAATATATATATGCTTTATGATGTAATGCACAAAGGAATGCACTATCATCTACTATACATTCTTGCCAAAAAAAATTTAGGTTCTACTTAATCTGGGCTTTGGACCTAAATTCTTGTTTTAAGACCTGTAGGGGACAGGGGGAAGTTATGATTCTGCTAGGAAACAGTCAATGTAAAGCATGAGACAGTTTCCATGCCAGATCTGGTCAATGACCACTGTCTTGAAAATAAATAGGAAAAGAGACAACCGCCAACAAATGACCAATATAGGCTTAACTCAGAGAAGGATCAGAGGGTATTGTGCTCACTACACAAGGCTGAAGGGCCTGAGTGGACTCCTGGAACACATGCAAAAGTGGAAGGAGAAAACCAACTCTAACTTAACCTCTGCACATGTGCAAGCTCGCAAGCACGTACATATACCACTTGAGTCAGGCTAAATGAATTAGCAAGTTACTGTCAGTTTCCTGAGGCACAACAAGTATGCAGGGCTATCTAGAGTTGTAATTTTTAGAAGATGTATGATAAAGTGTTTGAGTGAAATGTCATATCTGCAATTTCCAAATATTTCTGCCAAAATTAGTAAATATAACACGCATGTGTGTTTATGTACATCCTAGTATACATTAATACAACATGCATGTGTGCTTATGTACACCCCAGTGTACATTAATACAACACCCATGTGTGTTTATGTACATCCTAGTATACATTAATACAACACGCATGTGTGTTTATGTACATCCTAGTGTACATTAATACAACACCCATGTGTGCTTATGTACATCCTAGTGTACATTAATACAACACCCATGTGTGCTTATGTACACCCCAGTGTACATTAATACAACACACATGTGTGTTTATGTACATCCTAGTATACATTAATACAACACCCATGTGTGCTTATGTATATCCTAGTGTACATTAATACAACACCCATGTGTGCTTATGTACATCCTAGTGTACATTAATACAACACCCATGTGTGCTTATGTACATCCTAGTGTACATTAATACAACACGCATGTGTGCTTATGTACATCCTAGTGTACATTAATACAACACGCATGTGTGCTTATGTACATCCTAGTGTACATTAATACAACATGCATGTGTGCTTATGTACATCCCAGTGTACATTAATACAACACCCATGTGTGCTTATGTACATCCCAGTGTACATTAATACAACACGCATGTGTGCTTATGTACATCCTAGTGTACATTAATACAATACACATGTGTGGTTATGTACATCCTAGTGTTTATTCAAACCCAGACAAAGTGTAAATGGTTTAAGAAACAAAAAAATGTTTTGATTCTGGGTAAGCATGCAGATAAATATAGTAGTTAGTATTTTTTCTCACTTTTAGAAAAAAATTGTAAAGCAAAGCTAAAATGTCAACAACGACAAAGAGAAATCAGTGGTCAACCACGAAGCTCTGTGAGAAACAGTAGAGAGCCGAGCACTGACCGTGTGGTTATTGATCTTCACGTCTTCCTCGTACTTGGAGCAGGCGACAGCCCGCTCCTGGCCTTTAATGACCGTTCCATGCCTGGAGTACTCCACATAGTCTTCTGTCTGGGCTAAGAGCAGCTCAGCTGGAGGAGCATCTAGGTGTTCTTGGCCACCATACTAAAAGGACATTGAGCATTTTAAAACACATTTTAGAACCAAACTTTTATATCAAATGTTTATGGAAGGGCTTATTTTCAATGACAATAAATGCACTTTTTGTTTGTTTGCTTGATTGTTTTTTACTAGCTTTCCTAAGGAAACTGTGAAAAGACATCACCAATTCTTCCCAGGTAAATAAGATGTTTCCTTGTTAGTTACCTGGTGAGGTAGTTTCAAGATGGTCATACATTTTTGCGGGGTGCATACCTGATATCCTTTGCCTCACTTTACTGGGTTTCCTATCGAGATGGAGCCAATTTTCCATCTCGGGAGTCTGCATGTGACTGTGTTACTTCCTCCACCAACGGAAAGCTAGTAAATGCGACGAAAGCAAAGGTGTGTTGTGTGCACAGGGACATACATTCTGTGCCTTGCCCTGGAAGCCTCAGAAAGCATTGAGAATGCTGGGCTAGGATATGAGAAAGCAACGCTCTGTGATGCAGATGTGAGCGGTCCTGTCTCGGGGACCCACTGCCGTAAGGATGCGTGAGAGAGAATAGGTATTTATCTTAAGCACTCCATCTTGGAGGGTTGTGATTGATGCAAAAATCTGTACCAAATGAGTTGGCAGAAGGACAGGACCCGGCCTCGTGGGTTAAAAGGGGCTCTTGGTACCAAGCTTAATGCTTCTTGTGCAGTAAGTAAAGCCGTTTTGTAGCGGTACCTTTTCCAGGATGCTCTCCTTCTGCTGCTCTTTGAAGTCTTCTTTTTTGACTTTGAAGGACTTATACAGCAGCTCTAGTTTTGTAGGATCTGCCTGGAGATGCACTTCAGACCCCTTGTCGTAGGCTTCCCAAGCAAACACTAGAGTAATTCAAAGTGTCTCAATGAGTTGATAGCTCACTGTGCTTTTGCTTTTTTAAAGCAAGCTTTAAGTAGCTGCTCACAGTACCTCTCCCATCACCTCTCCCTCTTTCCTTTCTTGTCTGCTGGCTTTTTCTGAGACAATTTCCTCTAGCACGTGGTAATCTTCCTGCCTTGGTCTCCCAAGCAGTAGGGTCATAGACATATGCCATCATGCCTGTTTTATCATTCCCAATTTCCTTTTTTACATTTATTTATCTATGTATACAAATGTTCATGCCATAGAACACATGAGAGGTCAGAGGACAACTCGCTTTCTCTTGATTTACCATGTGGATGCTGGGGACAGCACTCTGGTCATCAAGCCTGATGACAGGCATCCTGAGCCATCCTGCTGGTCCTCATCCCTAAAGTCTACATAAAAGGACTTGGTACAGAGCAAACACTTACACTGTGTTTGAGCCATTGAGATGGTGTCACCTGTGTATCGGACAAAGTTATCTCCAGCGTAGCTCACTCTGAAAGCACAATTGTTAAAAAGATGTCTTAGAGATTGCTTTAAGAAAAACTCATTTACAGAATCCAGTAAGAAAGCACTGACCCCTTTACACTGAAGTCCATAGTTTAACTGGATACTTACTCATCGGGATTCTTTCCTGCATTGGCGTAAGGATTCTCTCTCATCGCTCTCGTTTTTGGATCATAATAGGCAGAATTTGGATCTAAATTTCTCAAATACTGAAAGAAAAATATTTAAAGACTGAGTTAACACCAATTTATAGCAAGAAAGGGTTAGCTGGACAGAAAAGCATGCTCTGACTGACTAAGCATCCGCGACATCCTGTACAGGGAGAAGCAGATGCTGCTGTCCTTCGGAGTACCTCTAATTACACTCATCAAACCACACACAGACACTGCACAAGTGGGCTAAGTGCAGAACTACTATCTGTCAGAGCCGTAGGTCAGGCAGACGTGACTTACTTTTGCAATATCTTCACGAATCCTGAGATTCCGAACAGTAATGCGTCTTTTAGAGTCGAAATTCTGCCCAGGCATGTCAATATCATCTGCATACTTGTCTTCATCCTCGTCCTCACTGTTATGATCCTTTTCCTAAAAGAAAGCGTTGGGGACGAGAAAACTAAGCAGAAAGACACAGCACTGTGGTCTTGTTTTCTTTCCCCTTTAAACAAAGGTTTATTGTGTGACTTAAAGCTATCATTATGACTACGATTATTACAAGCCACTGAAACTAGCGAGAGCACGCAGCCAGAAAGGACAAGCATACATTACCATCTGAGAATTGGGTTCCTCTTCTCCCCACTGGTGTTTTGGAGAATTCTGCATCGAGAAAGAAGGAAAACAACTGTAAATCCTTTTCATTTAATTTACAGATTACTTAGCATTTAAAAAACATAATATAAATGGGTATAGGTGAGTGATTCAGTGTGTGCCGAGTATGCACCAGACCCTGAGTTTAATCCCTAGCACTGAAGAAAGGGAGGGAAAGAGGAAGGAAAGGTTGGTTGGTTCATTTCAACTCAACATGCTCACATATTTCTCACCTGTCCCAAGCACATGTATTCTGACACAAGTATGATATTGTGAACAATTAATTTTATTAGTGTCTACAAAACCAGAAACCAAATAGATTTTATTAATGTAGAATGTCTTTCATATATATGAGTCTGTGGGTATGCATGCACATGTGCATGTGTTCCCTTGGAGATGAGAGAGAACACTGAATTGCTTGGAGCTGGTATCTCAGACAGTTGTAAGCTGCCTGATGTGTGTGCTGGGAATGGAACTCAAGTGTTCTGCAAGAGCAGCAGGTGCTCTTACCCACTAAGCCACCTCTCCAGCCTCCTGGTACTGGAGTACAATCATACGAAGCAACAGGAAGATTGAGATGACTAAAGAAGTCAGGATGTGCTCACTCCCACTTGGTTTAGGCTTTAGTGCATCATACGCATTAAACCCGACCAGCTCCCGTTCTATTTTTTATTGGGTCAGCACATGCCATTGTGCACACTTGGCGGTCAGAGGACAACTCCATCAGGTCTGTTCTCTCCTGCCACCTTCATGTGGGTTCTGCAGCTCAGACCAGAGTTGCCAAGCTTGCATGGCAAGTGCCTTTTCCCACTGAGCCAGTTCACTGGCCCAAACCTCACTAGTTTTTTAAAAATCAAATAGAAAATGCTGTCAGAATGTTTGCAACCTAGGTTCAAACCTCAACACAGCACATATGCAAACAAGTAAAAACAAAAACCAAACAAAGCAAAACAAAACAAAACAAAAAACCACCATGAATTTATGGGTCTTTTTCTATGGTGGTCCTCTATTTTTTCATATATCATTAAAATATATGATAGTGAATACTGTCAACGAGATCTGAACAAATGCCATTTTAAGAGAAGCATGCATGTATGCAGTACACTCCTCCATTGCTCAGGAGATGAAGATAGGAAGTTCAGGTCCGTCCTAACTAGAGACATACAACATGAATTCTTGTTCTAAGTTCCATTTCATTGTTTCATGCAGTGTTCCCAACCTTCCTAACACCGTAACCCTTTAATACAGTTCCTCATGCTGTGGTAACCCCAACCATAAGACTGTTTGTTGCCAGCTTATCACTGTACTTTTGCTACTGTTATGAATCATAATATAAACATCTGTGTTTTCCAATGGTCTTAGATGACCCCCGTGAACCAGCTGTTTGACCTCAAAAGGGGTTGTGACCCACAGATTGAGAACCACTGTTTGGAAGAATCTGAGTATTTTGCTTGAATATCTTGTATCTTTACTTACAGCTTGCTCCACTAATTTTCCAGAGGCTAATTCTTCTTGTAGTTTCTGTGCTTTCAATGTTCGTTTTGCCTAAAAAAATAAAGACATTTAAATTTTACTTACAACATGTAGATGGCCACTTAGACTGTATATACTTAAAGTGGGTGATTTTAGGGCTTTCAGAAATGGTCCTTAGAGCTAGCTGTAGGGTATTTGGTCTTAAAAAAGAAGGATGAGGAAAAGGAAGAAGAGGAGGAAGAAGATGAGGAGAAGGAGGAGGAGGAGAAAGGAAGGGCAGGCTTACAGAGTTAGCTTCTTGTATGAACAAGACTTGATGTAAACTGCAGAGAGAGAGAGAGAGCCCTGACAACAGTGGCAGAGGCTGCTGACTCCCAGTGACTGGCTGACTAATCTCTGGCAGGGTTAGGTTACTGCATATTTCAATGCTCAGGAAAACATGACATCTAGACGTTTATACGCTGTCCCATGATCTTGCCAGGCGCAGTGGCACATGTCCATGTTCCTAGATATAGGAGGTAGAGGCTCAGAATCATCTGCGGCTACATAGGAGTTACATGTTACCCTTAAAAATGAAAACAAAACAAAATAGAAGCTGACCCCAAAAACAATAACTCATGAGCTTTAAATATAATCTGTAATTTCTTGAAAAAAGAAAAAAAAACCCAGCAGAATAGACTACTATTCTGAAAGAATTTGGATAAGAAGACCGAAAGATAGAATCACTATTGAGGGGGCTGGAGAGATGGCTCAGCGGTTAAGAGCACCGACTCCTCTTCCAGAGGTCCTGAGTTCAAATCCCAGCAACCACATGGTGGCTTACAACCATCCGTAATGAGATTGGATGCCCTATTCTGGTGTGTCCGAAGACAGCTACAGTGTACTCATATGCATAAAATAAATAATAAATAAATCTTAAAAAAAAAAAAAAAGAATCACTATTGAGAAAAAAACCAAAACCAAAACCCAAAACTGAAGTTAGATTAAAATTCAGTTTTCTGAAGTAGGTTAGCTACTCTTACATGGGATGTGAGACAACTATAAAGCAGTCTTAGACACGTGCTGTAGCTTAGTGATGAAGATTGAGAACTTACAAAAGCCAAAATCAGCTGTGTGTGGTGATGTACACCTTTCTTTAATCCCAGCACTCAGAAGGCAGGTAGGCAGGTCTCTGTGAGTTTTAGTCTAGCCTGATCTGCATAGTGAGATCTAGGCAAGCCAGAGTTACATAGCCAGACTGCCACAAACAAACAAACAAGTAAATACAAGAAGATTTGGATGTCAGTCTGTCCTCATATGTCTAGTGTCTCTGGTCACACTGGGACTAAAAAATAAAAGACTCAAGAAACTGCTGCCAGGCAGATGTGGTGGGACTTGCCTTTAATCATAGCATTTGGGAGGCAGACACAGGAGTTCAAGGCCAGCCTGGTCTCCATAGCAAGTTCCAAGACAGCACTATATAGAAAGACCCTGTCTCCAAAAAACAAAACAACAAAACAAAACAAAACAAAAAGGAGAAAGAGAAACTGCTGCCAAGTAGGGCCACTACACTGCACCATTGCACTAGACATGCTATCATAAGAAACAGCACCATCTTCAGAGCGCCTAAGATGCACAAAAGCATTGTTAGATTAGACACACAGCAGAATGGATCTTCTCTAGGGAAGCAGAAAGCAGGGAACTGACTCACCAGATCAACTTTGGCGTATTCCTCGACAATTTTCATGTGCTCTTCTGGATTATAGCCATTCCACCGGTCTCTCTTGCCATCATAGTCAAACATCAGCTGAGGCTGGATGTGCTCATCGGGAGCGATGTTAGTACCTGTGAATTTAGCTCCGACCCGCCTTGGCCTCTGAAAGACAGCAGATCTTTTCCTAAGAACTTGAAGCACAGAGGAAGACCCCCTGCAACTTTCACACAGTCAGCGCGGACACAGTGTAGCATTTTTAATGTCTTTAATTACCAGGCAATCTTTGGGCAGGAAACTTTGATGATAACAGACTAAATTCATGCAATTTTTTATTTTTCGAAAATAATTTTAGGAAACGGAAGTTCTCTGACAAGGGAAAAACAAAAGGCTGGCTGATGGTTTCCCAGCAGGCTCAGAGTGAACTTACCTCAAAGCAGTCTTTCCTCTTGTGTGTCATGGCTCCGCAGTTCTCACACGCACCTTTGCGGTACTTGGTAGTTATAGAATTCTGTTCAAGGACAGAGAAGAACAAAACAGACATCTTATTTATCCGAGTCATTTATGAGTAACTTAGGCTCTCACTATCTTGTCTACTGAAAGACTCTGTTAAAAGGAAGACCAGGGGCTTGGCTCAGAGGTTAAGAGCACGGTCTTGCTGTTCCAGAGGTCCTGAGTTAAATTCCCAGCAATCACATGTTGGCTCACAACCATCTATAATGAGATCTGGTGCCCTTTTCTGGCATGTAGGCATATATTGTATGCTATATACATAATAAATAAATCTTTAAAAAAAAGGAAGACCAGGTAGCCTTCATGTTCTGAGATGACCAAGTTTAAGAGTTTCAATAATATAAAATGTATTTAAGAAAAGACTGTAACTAACACTGTGAATTTCAACACCAGGGCCACACAATACCTTCCTACTTTAAACAGCATCACATTAAAAGTTCTAAAGTTCTTCACACACACACACATACACACACACACAAAACTCCACAGGCAAAACAACACACAGGTTACCACATACCTCCTTAACGCCTCTCTTGTACCATTCCCCAGATGAACTGAATTGCTTCTGTTTCTCTGGCTGTGGTCTCTGATGCTTTAAAGTGGGTCTCTTTGATGGATCAATGTACCATGGGACCGAAGAAATATACTGAGGAATATGAGGGTTGATATCTCTGTAATAAAGTTTAAGTGAAATTGTGAAGAAGGAAGTTTGAAAATGGCATTTTAACCACAAAGACAGTGGGCACAGAGGCTAAGAACAGCAATCCTGCAGTGGGATGGGAGAGGGAAGATGGCTGCTATTTCCATTAATAGAACTAAGAGTAAAGATGTATGTTATACTACATCTAGGAACTTTCTTAGAGAGATCCGGACACTAATGGTACAACTGGAAGGAGATGGAGGAAGAGGTTAGCAAGCTCCATCCATCAGAGCTGAAAGTCAAACTAGTGCCCACAGCCAAATGATTCAGACAATCATAGAGGCATTATTATTCAGAGATGTGAAAATTTCAAAATGAGAGCATGTAAAAGTAGTCACTAGGTTGGGGACTGAAAAAAAAGGTAAAAAAGGACAATTGCTACTCATTATAAGCTCTTTGGAATCATTTGTCTACTAAACTATATATGTGTGAGTTTGAGAAAACAAGAAAGAATACAAACTGCAAATAATAAAGGACAGTCTCCTACCAAAGCAAAGGGTGGGAAGCTGATGAGCTGGGGATGGATTTAAACAGATCATGCAAGACAAGACTTACTTCCCCTCCTCGTCGACTTCTGCAGGAGCATTGCCCAGTTTTCTCTGTTCTTCTAGCTCCTTCTTTTTCCTCCAGTCCTCTCTGGTCATCTTTTTTGGCTCCTCCAAACTCATCTCCTTTGATCCTGTCATGGGCGTGGCACTAACTGGGTCCACAGCTGCTGCCGACATGATGAATCAATGCCCTCTAAAAAAGGAAGTTTTTACAGTAACAGAGGCTTTCTGGAATATACCCTCTGAGACTACTGAACCGTGTCCAAGCAATACACTGTGAGCTTTACCAGGGTCTCTCTTGCTTACAGTTTTTTCTCCCTCTTACTTTTCAAACTTTTTATGGCTGTGATCAAAACTGGATCCTTGCTGCACTAAACAGCATTCTCCAGTCTCCTGTGTTCTTATTCTTTCAAAGTGCCTATAAAGGAGGGTTTCTTTACATTTTTAAATTTGTTTTTTGCTGGGGTAGGGTATGCCATGGAACGTATGGGGAGGTCTGTAGCTGGATTTGGCTACTTTGTGGGGTCTTCTCTCTTCCACTCTTCTCCATCCCCTTTCCTTCACCCTTTCAGCCCCCTAACACTAACTAGATAAAAGAGAGAAAAGGATAGAGAAGAAAGGAAAAAGATCCCTGAATAAAGTCACGGGTCAGAAAGGGGGAGATGTTATCGTCAGCCTACTTCCTGCTAATTAAGAGAATCAAGTTTCTTGGGGCAAGAATGATCTTTGCTGTCAGGATATCTGATTTCTTTTTCTTCTTGTTTCTTCTTTGCACATGATTACCTAACAAACCTCGACCACCAACAATCAACGACACCCAACAACTAACAACCCGCCCACTTCTCGGGGCCCTAGCATTTATATACCTTCTAAAAAGCCCCCAGAATTCCAAATGTCACATGATTGCAGAAACTATCTGCAGTTGTTGGCAGAACCATGCCTCTGCGAGAGCACAAAGCAAATCAGTCAGCTGCTGCAACAGTCTGAAGCAGCCTCAAATCTCTACTCCTGCTATTAAAACGAAAACATATTCTTATTTCTATGTTTTTTAAAGAAACCAAAACTCCAAAATTATCACTACAGAGGTCAGAGGTCAACTTGTAGGAGTTAGTTCTCCCCCAATCACCATATGGGTCTCAGGGATCAAACTCAGTCATCAGGTTGGCAGCAAAATGCCTGCTGAGCCACCTCACTGGTTCTAACAGTTTCCCTTACTCAAAAGGCTCTACAAACTGGGCATTGCAATATACAACCTTAATCCTAGCACTTGGAAATTTGGGAGTTGGAGGCTAGTCTGGAACTAGGTTGGTCTACATAAAGAATCTGCAGCTAGCCAAGGCTATATCGTGAGACCCTGTCTCAAATAGAAAAAGAAAAAAAAACAAAAACAAAAAACAAAAAACAGTCTTTACATATTCTTAGCATCAATTTTCTCAATACTTCAATTTGTAAACAGAGAAAGCCATGTATAGAAAATTTTAAAGACTTTCATACAGATGTTCCTAAATTAGACCTCCTGCATGACCCAAACTTTCCTTCCACAGTCAAAAAAATTCAGAACCCATCACTCTTCTCCTTGGAGGCCCAATGCCTTAACAATTACCAAAGTTCAGGGGCTGGGGATGAAGCCTCAGTTGATAGAACGTTTGCCTAGCATGCACAAATTTGATTCCCAGTGAGGCAAAAACTAGGCATGGTGGTATACACCTGTGATCTAGCAATCTGATGTGAATATAGGACCAGAAGTTCAGGGTCATCCTTGGCTATATACAGTTTAAGGTGCTACATGTGACCTTGCCAGAAAGAAATAGATGCCTCTCTCTTCCTCCCTCCCTCCCTTCTTCCCTCCCTCTCTCTCTCTCATACACACACACACACACACACACTCACCTATGTTCTTAGTGTGTCTATTTTTACACCTCTGTTCTGGACTCCTTAGCCCTGGTCACTGACTTCACGTCCATTCCCAACCGTTCCAGTGAAAGCCACCACTACACTGACTAAGTCAGCGTGATAAATCCATGCCCATCTTTCAGTTATGTGCCTTCCTTTGTCAGAGATTCTTATTCCTTGGCTTCTGGAACATGTTACCTGTTTTTCATGACTCCCCCTCCTCGACTCCTTTGCAGGCTCGTCTATCTGTACACATTTATTTAGAGGCTGAGTCCTTACGGTGCAGACAGAGCCTCGCTCACCACTCTAAACAATAGCAGTTTCCAAGATTCAGGAGGAACAGAATCCCACTACTGGAGTTCCACGTGATTTCTCTGCTCCAGAATTTTCATTTGATCTTCCAATCTACATAACCAAACTGTGTACATGACATCTCCATCTGAAACACTCAGACGTCTCTATCCACAGCATGCCTTAAACTCCAGGCCTTTCCTGTGAAACTGAGTCTGCCTCCATCTCCCAAGTACTGGCTTTATAGGCATACGGCCACCACAGAAGTTTGTGTATGGGGCAGATGAGATGGTTCACCTACTGCTCCTGTAGATGACCAGAGCTCAGTTCTCAGCGTCTACGTCAGGTGGCTCATAACTGTTCCTAACTCTAGCTACAGGGGTTCCAAGAAGATTGTACACGTTCTTGCAAGGGCAAAACCCACCCACCTATTTATACACACAGCTAAAATAAAATAGACTTAAAAATAAAAAAATCAGAAGTGTTAGAAATCGGTGGTAGCTTATGTATACTAGGAAGCAAAAGAGGACATTCATAAATGTAATCGTCGTCATTTTAACAATTAGCATTTCCTTAATTTACCATGCAGACTGTCATCTTTACAACAACCCTACTTTATGGCGAGGAAACAAGTTTGGGGAGGCTAATACCTTCAGACAACAAGATGTCAAACCCAAGCCTGACTTTACTGTTGGTCCTTTAAATCGTGTTACAAACCACAGACACTGGAGTGTCACACTGAAGATTAAGAGACTGAAGTGTTTTGTCATTAAGTTTACACTGCTCTGCGAGGGTCCTACTCTCTCAGAGTTAGAACATTAGCAACACCAAGGCAATACAGACATTCTAATTTGACTCTCATATTCTAAGATCATCTCCATCTAACGAGAAAGTTGAACCTCAAAGGCATTCCTTTGGGGACAGAGGGGTCAGCTTCGGTACGGGCCGCTCAGGATGTCCAGCCCACAGTGACCAGGACTCTTTCCTGGAGGACTTAGCCACCATCCGGCTGGACCCAAGGGTGGCGCCTGCGTACTGGGCCACAGTCGCCTCCTGGGTCCGCAGTTCCAAGACCGCTTATCGCCGCGAGAACTCACTGCAGGGGATACCGGCTCCCCGAGGTCCCCAGTTCGTCTGCTCAATCTCCGAACCCCAACTTACCCAGGCCCGCCACAGACTACTCAAAACCATCCGCCAGAAACGAAGCGATCCGATACTGTTTACTTCCGGATTCCCTGCCTTCTTCCGGCAGTGCAGCGATAACTTCCGGGAGATCAACACATGCGCACTTGCAAGACTTGGCTCTTTTTTTTTTTTTTTTTTTTTTTTTTTGACCTAGCGAGGTGGTCCCGCTAGTACTTCGTTGTACACCTTGCGGAGAAGTGGTGGCAGTGCAGCTTTGTGCTCCACGCTGGGAACTGTTGTTCTTTATTTGTTGTTTTATTTATTTTATTTGTTTGAATTTTAGCAAAAATGTTTACTGAGAAAGCTCCACACCTTTAATCCTAGCAGAGATAGGCGTACCTAACCCTGAGTTCCTGGCCAGTGACATAGTAAGACCCTTTCTCAAACAAACAAAAAAACTTAAAAAAAAACTCTCATAAAAGAGAAAATATTGCGGGGCGGTGGTGGCGCACGCCTTTAATTCCAGCACTTGGGAGGCAGAGGCAGGCGGATTTCTGAGTTCGAGGCTAGCCTGGTCTACCGAGTGAGTTCCAGGACAGCCAGGGCTTCACAGAGAAACCCTGTCTCGGAAAAAAAAAAAAACAAAAACAAACAAAAAAAACCAAACCAAAACAAAAACAAAAAAAAGAGAGAGAGAGAAAATATTAAACAAACTACTAGAAAATAGGTTATTTTGGTGGATTTTTTTTTCTTTAAAAAAGATTTATGCTTTGTTTTATGTGTGTGAGTTTGCATATCATCGGCACCAGATCGTCTGTCTGTAACTGGAAATACAGATAAATGACTGTGAACCAGCATGAGTACCAAACTGGGAGCGTCTGCAAGAACAAGCTGTCTTGAGCCATTGCTTGGAAATTTTTCTTTTGTGCTGTCTTGTGGCTATTTATACTTGCCCTATGTGAATTGCTCTTCAAATATACAGGGCTAAAGCTAACGTCCCCACCTCAATCAAAGAGCACAAAGTAGTAGATTTTTTTTTTTTAAGAATTTGAAGTGCCTGGAGATAGAAATGTAATTGTAATTTTGAGTTTTTCAAGGCAGCTAAAGGAAGATCAGAGTTCAGTTGACTCACTCAGAGGACAAGAAGGAGGAATTTTTCTCAAGGCTTGAGTTCTCAAGGAGAAAGAGACCAAGAAGGCGGGGATTGTCTTTGGATGAATGGTTTATGTAAAGATAGAGTAGGAGAGGCTTGTGTTAGCTGAGGACTCTGTATTATAAGTTTACCAACCAGGTACGTTATTCCCCAGTAACAAGTGTGGATCACAAAGCTGGCCCAGGGACGCCACCGTTCAGAAAACCATGGCCTTTTAAAGACAGGGTGGTGATATAATTTACACTTGCAGTAGATCTAGGGAAAAGCAATGCTTCCTGTCTCAAAGAATTAGACAATGTTCCCGTGGAAGTTGTGGGGATGTATATAGGCTTCTTTTCTTTTTCTTTTTTTTTTTTCTTTTTTTTCTTTTTTTTTGGTTTCTCGAGACAGGGTTTCTCTGTGTAGCCCTGGCTGTCCTGGAACTCACTCTGTAGACCAGACTAGCCTTGAACTCTCAAACTCAGAAATCTGCCTGCCTCTGCCTCCCAAGTGCTGGGATTAAAGGCGTGTGCCACCACTGCCCGGCTAGGCTTATTTTCTAAAGCAAGACTTTTGTGTGCTGGTGATTTAATATGAAGAAATGAAATTCAGAAGTAGATGTAGAGAGAAATGAACAGGTTGAGGGGATAAAAGGAACAGGGAATAGACATGCGTGCATGCGTGTGAGCATGTGTGTGTGCCTGAGTCTGTTGTTTTTATTCTTCAAATAGAGTTAGGCGCTTTCTTTTGATGATTAACATAGCATACAATAAATAGTTGTTGAATGAATTTAAAGGAAGCTTGAGTTACTCATTTATTAGGAACATCGCTTTGCTCGCAAACAGATTTAAGGAAATGTAGTAAGGCAGATTCCCGTCTGATGTGTTGAGGGCAGCTCTGTGTAGGGAAAAGTTCTCAAGCCCAACTGAGAAGGAATTACTCATATCAAACTGCTCTTGCATCTACCCAGATTACTGCTTTTTTTAATGTTTGATTCTACTCTACTGTGAGTGTCTAAACCAAATATTGGCTGTTTCCCTGTCTCACTTTATATGTGTCTCTCTTCAACCCCCTTTTTAGTTGAAATTCTATTAGACAATTGCATGCTCATTTTCCCTCAGTTGTGGACTGATGGCTATAAAGCCATTCCTCAGATGTTTTCTCTCCTTTTAAATTTAGATTTGATTCCTTTATTTTGTGGATGAACAGTTGTTTAGTTGACATTAGGAAAACAGTCTTGCCACTTTCTTGCTATGAGTTTTAAAATATCTCCCCCCTCAGAAGACTGCTTAAGAACATCATGCCCAAAAAGTATCTCTGGAAAAAAATGTGTTTTGACATAAGTCTGATCATAATTTCTTCCTTAGAGGTGGAGATCATGTCCCCTCCCCTCTCCTTCTCTCTCTGAGATGCTGGGCTTGAAGTTGCTATGTGGCACAGAATGACTTCAAACTTCTGATCCTCATGTCTGCTACCGCACTGGATTTATGCTTGTCCAGTATGCTAGCTAAGTACTCTATTAACTGAGCTCTAGCCTTGGAAATTCTTAACTGTAAATGTAAAAAGTAGTCCTGCATTTTATAGTGCTATGTATTTCTCTCTCTCTCTCTCTCTCTCTCTCTCTCTCTCTCTCTCTCTGTGTGTGTGTGTCTTTCTCTCTATATATATATGTGTGTGTTTGTGTGTATATGTGCATATATATATATACATATGTATGAGACTTTTCAAAATAAATGTACATTCCTTAAATTTTATCAGCACCGAAATATTTGCCTATATTAATTACTTCACAAAACCAAGATTTATATCCTCCACTTCTCTTTGGATATTTCTTTTTTCTTTTGGAGATAAGGTCTCACTATGTGGTTTTTATAGCTACATGCATGCAATATGTAAACTGATCTGGCCTCAAACTCACAGACATCCTTTTGCCTCAGCCTCCCAAGTGCTCAGATTAAAGGTGTGTGTAGCTATTCATTTTGAAGAACCTGTTAGGATAGAATTAGGCAAAGATCCCCAAGCTAAACAGAATCTGTGGGCACTGAAGAAACAAAGGTGCCACTTTGCATCTACAGTGAGAGGAAGAATCCCAGAGAGTGAGATGTGAGATTTGACTAGCGATATGACAGTTTGCTATTTGATTCCTAATAGAAAGCTTTCTTGATCTACCACCTAGCACTCACACATCAGCGTCTCCTGTGACTCCACAGAGCTGAGGACTTCATGGCTGTCCCCACTGTTTTACAAAGAACCTGCTCAGCAGGAGGGGGACGGGTGAAAATCCTAGCATAGCCGGGTGGTGGTGGCTCACGCCTTTAATCCCAGCACTTGGGAGGCAGAGGCAGGCGGATTTCTGAGTTCGAGGCCAGCCTGGTCTACAGAGTGAGTTCCAGGACAGCCCGGGCTACACAGAGAAACCCTGTCTCGAAAAACCAAAAAAAAAAAAAAAAAAAAGAAAGAAAATCCTAGCACAAGTATCCCACTATCAATTATGAAACTGTAGAATGTTTTCAGGAATACCCAAAATTAATGACATAGGAATTGATCCATCACTGCAGGGAGTGTTAAGGACACTAAGGAACTTTTATACTAATTAAACGTAATCACACACATAGCAGAAAGTATGTAGGGGAAGGCTTCAATTTTATTAACAATCCTTACTTCAATGGGAAGGCCTGGCCTCTCAAATAATCTCCATTCTTTGTCTTCAAATTACCAATTTTTCACAATTTCTAAAAAATGAGCAGAAATTAACTTAAGAGGCAAAGGCAGGCAGATGTCTAAAGTTCGAGTCCAGCCTGGTGTGCAGTGATTTCCAGGACAGCTAGGATACACTTCAAGAGCAGCAAGTGCTCTTAACTGGCACCTCTCCAGTCTCGGATAGGTTTTGATAGGGGCCGACCCAAACCATCTTCTCAGTACATTAGTGCCTCTGACTTTGACTTCCAAGATTTAAGGTCTGGATTAAGCCTCTTGGCTTCTTTAGTTGAGTTTTTGTGCTTATGTTGTCTCTATTCCTACTTATTCCCTTTTAGCCTTCCCAAACTCCAGTACCTACTGTGTAGCTCTGTCCCCCTAGAGAATACACTCTGGCTACTCTGATCCCAGCACTGAGGCAGGAGGATCTGGAATCAGAAGCATGCCTGGGCTAGTGAGTTTCAGACAAACCTGAGCCCCATAGTAAGAGACTATTTCAAAAAAGTCAAAATCAAAAAAGTAAGCCTGGAGTAGCGGCACAGCCACTAATCTAGTCCTTGGAAGACAGGGAGTAGGATCGGGAGTTAAAGGTCATCCACCATCCACTGCATGGCGAGTTCAAGGACAGTCTGAGTCAGGTGAAATCCTGTCACAAAAAAAAAAAAAGCCTTTGAAATTTAAAGGAACAAAACGACGTTTTTGTTATTGGGCCTTCTCGCAGGTCCACGTCGTGGCAAACAAAAAGCTTCTCATGGGAGTTTTGGACAAAGTACGATTCTAGGTTGTTTTTTTTTAATACCTTGGAGCTAGACGCGAGGGGGGGGCGGTGGCTGAAAACTTCGGTTGTTCTCATTGGTTCTCAGTCCATAGGCCCCGCCCTCCTCTCGGGTGGACCAATTGAGACGCGAGTTGTAGTTCAAACTGCGGTGTGCGGGGTCGTTGGTGGCGCAGTCTTGGGTGAGTTTAGTTGCGAGCGCGTCGTGGGTGAGGGTGTCTTGGGCGAGCTTGGGGTGGCGGGGCAGGGAGACCCTGGATCGGAGGGTGAAGCAGGGTCGGGACCTGTGCTTCACTCGGCCCGGCGTCCCGGGCGTTCTTGGCGTGCTCGACCGATAATAAAACTGTTTTCAGTTTCCTTCTTCCTTTCTCCCACCCACTTCAGGGTCTTAAACAGCCCAGGCTGGCCTTGAACTTGTAGCGGAAGCCAAGCTTGAACATCTGATGCTCTTGGCTTCTCCCCATTGCTGAGATTGTAGGCTGGAGACAGTTTTGATGGGTGCCAACATCAACTGATTTCTGTAGGAGTTTAGTGTTTTTGACCCTGGCGTGAGGATTTAAGATCTGGATTAAGCCTGTTGACTTAAGCCAGCTACTTCTAAACTTTTGTGTATAGGTGCCCCTGGGGTAAAGATTGGTCTCCATTACTGCTTAGTTCTTCCAGCCTTCCTCAATGCCAGTATCATATATATGCAGGTCTCTCCCTCAGAGTAATCCAGGATGGCTACTCTGATCTTTGTTGATAAGGATAATGAAGAACCAGGCAGCCGTTTGGCATCTAAGGATGGATTGAAGCTGGGCTCTGGTGGTAAGTATTGATTGCCTTGAGATAACACACGTGTTGTGAATGCAGTATGGCATTTTAGTGTACTTTGTGGCTGATTAGAGTCAGGTTTGGTGTATTTTCATGCTTACTATCTTTTTATTTTTAGAAGAAGGTGTCCTGTAGTTCAGACTGGTCTCTAGTTCCATGTGTAACTAGGGTAGTCTTGAACTTCTGATCCTTTTGACACCACCTTCCCAGTGCAGTGATTACAGACATGGGCCACTGCAGAGGATGGACCTTGGAGCTTTTCAAATGCTAGGCAAGCACTCTCTTTACTTAGTCACATCCCCAGGCTCCATGCTTAATCTTTTTTTTTTTTTTCCTGAGACAGGGGTCCCCTACATAGCTTTAACTGGCCTGAAATTTGCACTATAGATCATCTATAGATTAGGCTGGCCTTGAACTCAAGAGATCCACTTACCTCTGCCTCCTAAGTGCTGAGATTAAAGGCATGTTGCGATGGCGCCTGGCTTCATGCTTATTGTCTTAATGAGATTATTTGAGAACGCTAAGTCACTGCCCAGAATAAGAAGCACAGGTTTGTGGGTGAGAATTAAGTTGACGAGGTGTTTATACGGCCTAACTTTTAAGAGTAGTATACTTATTACCTTTATTTGTGTTTGTGTGGGGGCTCACACATGCCATGGTGTGCCTGTGGAGGTCAGAGGACAACCGGTGAGAGTTGGTTCTCCTTATACTATGTGGGGTGGGGGATTGAATTCAGGTTTTCCGGTTTGGCCGAAAACTCTTACCCGGCCCACCGAGTCCGTAATATTTTTATGATTATTTTTTTTTTTCAACAGTCAAGGCCTTAGATAGGAAACTGCAGGTTTCAACACCTCGAATTGGCAAAGTGTTCAATGCTCCAGCCTTGCCTAAAGCCAGCAGAAAGGCTTTGGGCACTGTCAACAGAGTTACTGAAAAGCCAGTGAAGACTAGTAAACCCCTCCAACCCAAACAGCCAACTGTGACTGTAACAAAGGTGAGTGTGGGCTATGAACATGAATACTTGTACATGTGTTAGCACTTTACAAAAAAAATTTATTCTTATTTTTATTCATGTATATGTATCTGTGTATATGAATACTACATGTGTGTAGGCACCCAAAGAGGCCAGAAGAGGCCGTTGGGTGCTTTGGAACTGGAGTTGCAGCGTTTATGAGCTGCCTTATGTCGTGGGTGCTAGGAACTGAGTCTGGCTCCGTTGAAAGCGCAGCAAATGCTTGTAACCTCTGAGCCATCCAAAGCTCCATTGTAGCACTTCTGATGCTTAAAAACGGACTTCTCATCTGTCTTTCTTCCTCTAATTGAGTGGTAAAGAGAGGTCCACAAACAAACAGAAAAGAGTCGGGATGTGCTACTTCCGGTTGTTCAGCACCTTGAGATCGCAGCTCTTAGGAATAGCTAATGCTGACTGCCTCAGCTGTTCTTAACTAGTACCAGGAAGCAGTTGCTTAGAGGCCTCGTAACAGATGTGTGAAGTACTTAGCTGGGTTTGATATGCAGCTGCAGTCCCAGCACTTGGGAGGCTGTAGCTGGAGGATGGGCTGGGGCCTGGTTGGAGGCTAGCCTGAACTACATATTCCCCCCCACCCCCATTCTGACATACATGGACAGGATAAGAGCAAGAGCTCCCAGGTTCTGTTTTGGCCTATTGCTATTGATTGTCTACCTGGTAATTCTTTGGATGTTTTATGTTCTGCTGCTTCTTAATTCCATATATTTAAGGCACACAAACTTGTTAATATCAATTGAGTAAATAAGGTAACAGTGGCAGAAAAATTACTCTTTTATAAGGTAAAAGTGACTTCCAGGATTAGTTACTACTCTGGGTACCTCAAGCCTGTTTTGTCCACTGTTAGGTGTGATCAGTTGAGTTGATTAGCTTTGAGTTAACCCTACTCAGCATTCTTAATATATGTGGACAGGTTCTAAAATGTCTGACTTTTAATTTATGTGTTTGGATGTTCGCTTGTATGGTATATGTTTTGGTTAGGGTCTTACTGCTGTGAACAGACACCATGACCAAGGCAACTCTTATAAGGACAACATTTAATTGGGGCTGGCTTACAGGTTCAGAGGTTCAGTCCATTATCAATGCGGGAAGCATGGTAGTGTACAGATAGGCATAGTGCAGGAGGAGCTGAGAGTTCTACATCCTCATCTGAAGGTGTCTAGGACAAGGGTATTAAAGCCTATGTCCGTAGTGACACACATACTCCAGTGAGGCCACACCTTCTAATATTGTCATTCCCTGGGACAAGCATATACAAACCATCATAGTATGTAACTGTTCATGTACCTGAGGAGGACATGAGACATTGCTTCCTTTGGACTGGAGTTACAGATAGCTGTGAGCCACCCTGTGGGTGCTGGGAACTAAACCTAGGTCTTCTGTAAGAGCAGCAAGTGCTCTGAACCACAGAGCCATCTTTCCATATCCTTAGTGCGCGTGCCTGTGCGTGCGTGCCTGCACGCACACGGGCGGGGCCAGTACATATAATAGCATGTGTGTCAGAGTCAAGAGGACAACTTCCAGGAGTCAGTTCATTCTTTATTTACCTTTACACTGAATCCTGAAAACTAAGTACTGTGACTTAGAAGTCAGCACAGAATTGACCAATTTTAAATCGTGACGTCATCATTTGAAGAGGCCATCCAGTCTCCTGCTCCCATGCAGGTGGGAGAGACTGCCATTCTCACAGCACTTACTCTCTTGGGTTTTTCTAGATCACCGAGAAGTCTACTAAGACACAAGGCGGTGTTCCTGCTCCTGATGATGCCTACCCAGAAATAGAAAAGTTCTTCCCCTTCAATCCTCTAGGTAATAATAGTGTCTTTGGTATGATGGGCACTTGAGATTTCTCTTAGACTGTAACTCCATGTGACTGTGATATGTGGCCCTAGAGTCTGAGACTGACTGAACCTGGGTTACTTTGGAAGAATAGACTTGTTCAGGTGGACTCACTTGCCAGGGTATTACCTTCAGTTGGGGAGAATGGGAGCAAAGATGTTGAGGAAAAATCAGAAGTTCAAGGTCATCATTGTGTGAGTTCAAGGCCAACCTGATCTACAGAACAAGTTCCAGGATAGCCAGGGCTATTGTAGAAGAACCTTGTCTCAAAAAAAGATGTAAATACCCAAATATTGAAACATTTTATTATGTGTCTCATTATGCAACCATGATGGCACATTGTTTGATATCACCTCTGATGTCATCAGAAAGGGCCAGGTGTAGCCGGGCTTGGGCGTGCATGCCTTCAGTCCCAGGCAGAGGCAGGCAGATCTCTTGAGTTCAAGGCCAACCAGGGTTATGTAGAGAGATCCTGTCTCAAACAAACAAACCAAAAATGAAAAGGGCAAGTAATATGATATAAAATTTCAAATTAATGTCATGCTATTACACGTGAGTGTCCCACAATTCTAAACTTTTCCTGTTTCTGAATTCTGTCATTAGTGACAAAATTTTTCTTGAAGTGTGATATAGGCTTCCCTCATTCCTTGAGAGAGTATGGGACAAGTGCATTCTCTTGATTGCAGTTTGACTTTCAGATGAAAACTGTCTTCCAGGAGAAAAATAACCACCACCAACAACAAAACCCAGCGTGGCTTGCAGCTCAGACCATTATAAATCCCTTTTCTGTGACATCCGTATGTTCATAGTTTTGGTGTACATAAGTTCTCATTTTGTTACAGGATCTTTGACAGGGAATGGGGACCTGCTCTGTAGTTCAGCATGGTTTTGAACTCACGGCTATGCTGCTTGGTCACCCTCCCACATGCTCAGATTATAGCTATGTACCACCATGATACTTGCATCACAGAGCCTATTAAAGAGTGTTTAAGAGCTGGGCTGTTAAAATCATACTTTTTCCTGAGTAAAAGTATGGCAAAAGTAATAATTACGTTCGGGCAGTAACTTCATTATCTAACTGGCTATTGTTAACTTGGCTCTGTTTTCGAAATGAGGAATCGTGGTGAAGCATAGGTTGACTTAACTGTGCTTCACTGTGCCTCACCGTGCCAAGGGAGCACGACCCTGATGCTTGCTTTCCCTTGGCAGATTTTGAGAGTTTTGACGTGCCTGAGGAGCACCAGATCTCACTTCTCCCCTTGAATGGAGTGCCTCTCATGATCCTGAATGAAGAGAGAGGGCTTGAGCAGCTGCTGCACCTGGACCCCCCTACCCCTCTGAAGACACCCTTTCTACCATGGGAGTCTGGTAAGTGAGCCAGTGGCTTCTCAACGGCCTGTAAGCAACTTGTTACATGACAGGTGTTGTGGGGACAGCGTTGTGCAGGTGAGCCTGTGTGTGTGTAGCTTTGGAATACAGGGGCAGAATTTAGAATAACTTTCCTCGGTCATTATGGTTGAGTCCCAAAAGAAGGTTTTCTGGAACCTTTGGTGATACCAGAGGATGAAGTTAAACACACAGCTTCTTAGGCTATGAGTTGAAGTCTATAGTTACTGAGACTTTTCCATCCATGGCTGCCAGGGGACCAGTGTGTAGACCACAGTAACTTGTCACCGCTGAAAGCTTAAGGCTTTCGTTGGAAACGGTGGTCAGAAGTGCCTCCTGCCTGTGTTGATGAGATGGGTTGCCAGTCAGAGTTTATGAATTAGTGAGACTTTATGCTCGAGAGAACAAGAAGCTTCTCATGTTTTAAGGACTTGCTTCTTGATGAGGGTCAGTTCCGAGGCCACTGCTCCTGCCACCGCATTTAGGCAATCAGCATGTGCGTGTGAGATTCACTAGATGAATGTAGGCTGAAACTAGCAGCTAATGTTTGTGATGGATAATGGCTATAAAGGAAGTGCAGAATGTAATGAGAAATTCCTCTTCCTCCAGATCTGCCACAGTCTCCTTCCAGCGCCTTCTCCAGTCTGGATGTTGAATTGCCGCCCGTTTGTTCCGATGCAGATATTTAAGCCTCTTTACTCCTTTATAGTTTATATATGTTGTATTAATAAAGTATTTGTGCGTATGCTCAGAATGTGAATACTTACCAACGTGTGATTGGTATTCCTTGGCATTAGGAGACGCCACCGTCTTTGTGTATACCCTTCATCGTGTACTTTGTTGCCTTTTTGTGGCTGTTAACTAGTGACAGTTATTAGATCTCTTAATTAGAAGAGTCACTTCCAGCTCATTAAGTAGTTATTGTTAGACACTCTTTATCACCAGCTCGGTTTAGTTCTAATGACTTCAATATTCAGTAACCAGAATTTGAAAGGCTCCAAACCTTCTGAGAAGCCGGTCTCCTTGGGATCTCTAGTTAGATACTTTGATGATCACTGTAGATAATTTACTTACGGTAGGGTTCACTCCCCACGTGGAGGAATTGGTTGTGTATCCAATCGTGGACATAAGTATTTGATAAGCATTAGTGTTTTTGATGTCTAAGCCTATATTTTTAATCAATGTGGAGCTGGGACCCTTGTTTTCGAGTGAACTATGTATTGCAACTGCCACAGCATGCCAGTCTCTGAAGTGAGAAAAACTCTGAAGAGTTTTGCAAAAGATGTGGGGCTTCAGTCCTGAGGAGGGGAGGGGCCTTACATCTGTTTCCCTCTTGAGGATATGGTATAGGATACATGCGGGAATGGAGAGTGATCAGAAGCTGGGAGAAAGGTGCTTCAGGCGGGAGAGTGAAGTCCTCTGGTGTGCTTTGCATCTGCAGCTGGGAAGGACGACACTGCCCCGGGAAGCCATTTTACAGCAGGATACCTTGGAAGACTTTTCTTTTTCGGGGCATTCTCCCTTAAAAAATGAATTTTAATTGTTGTCCCATGGAGCTCTGGATGGATGCAGTTTTGTGTGTAAAGTCTGAAGAGTCTCCTTGATGGGAGTGATTTCTAAATTAGAGCCACATCTGCCTCAGCCCCTTCCTCTGCTTTAACTGGGTTCAAGCTCCTTGTGAAATGGCACATTGCCACTGAGTCTGGGTAAAGCATTAACCAAGTCACGATCTCTCTCAATATTATGCTGCCCTAATTGTATCCACCAATAAGTTAGTCCACGTGTGAATCCAGCCCTTCTCAGCTTTTTGGAATCTGGTTGGAACGGAGCTAGACTCATTACCAAATCTAACACAAGTGGCTTTCAGTGGCCACTTTCCTGTCCATCTTTCTAGCATCGTTCTAGTCTTCTGAACGCCTCCCAGAATGATCCGTTAAGCTCTGATTACCGAAGTCAGGGCTTCCTCAGCCTGTGTCTCCAAACTCTTTAACTCCCTTACACTGATGTGTTCCCCAGCGTCTACAAGACCACACTGTCAGGTTTATTACAGCAGTGGCTCCGTGTCTTGGTCCCACTTTTTAGTATTATACAGTCAGTCATAGTCGGGAAGGCGGGGCTGGAGTGCCTTCTGACCTTGGCATCAGGTTGTCAGGTTACATCTCTCCACAAGGAAGCAGGAAAAAAAAGGCTTGGTGCTTACTTAGCTTGCCTGCTTTTTTCTTTCTTAGTCAATCCAGGACCCCAGCCAATGGGACAGAGCCATCTACGTTCCTGAGTTGGTCTAAGTTAATCCTCTCTGAAAGCCCCCTCCGTTACTCTCAGGTGATCCTCAATGATGCCTTAGGCATCTTGTAACCTAATCAAGTTGATAATCAAAAATAGCTACCACAAGGGGCCAGCTGGAGTCTACCCTTCCGAGCATAACCTTTTAATACTCTGAGCACCTCAGAGAACCAGGGTAGATGAAGGTCTCCCACCATATCAGGATCTTTAGGCTCCAAGGCATGGCCTACTGCAGTAGGTGTCCCACGTTGGTAAATTTCTGGACTCGGAGCAGGTAGCAGTTTTCAAGTTCAGGTAAATCCCCACCTGCCAGTGATCCTGTTTCTTCAATACTGTGGTAAATGGGTGGGAAAGGATACCACATTCTCTGCCATTTCTAGAATGTTCCCCAGCAGCCTTCTCTTCTACTGTACTTTGCTTCTTAGCCTGTGGTGCCAGAGTGGGCCTACAGTTCCCGCAGCTTAGGCCATGTGCATCTGGGGTAAAGTGACTTTCAAGATTCCAGTCTTTGTTCACAGTTTCATGTGACAGCAGGAAGGGAGGAACTCTTGGGCAACCATGGACGCAGCTTTTTCCGGCACACACCCCAGAAGCTGGCTAACTTCTTTCAGTCCTCCTTCCTCTCATGGTGGTTGTTGCTCACAGGGCTGGCATCTCAGCCCAAAGCTGACTTAAATCTCTCTCTCTGTGTGTGTGTGTGTGTAGGTCTGAGGACAACTTGTGGCTCTGCTTTCATCCTGTGGGTCCCTGAGATAAAACTTAAATTGTCAAGTTTGGCAGCAAGACCCTTTATAACCTGCTGAGCCATCTGGCTAGCCCCAGTGCTGATTTTGAATAGGCTGCACACAGTGGCTTTGGAAACCTTAGCCACATGTGCTCAAGTGATAGGAAGAACCAGATGCAGGACCTGTTCCTTATGTCCAGCTAGAGTAAACTCTTGCCAAAGGTCTTGTCTTTGTTTGTCTCCAAGTCTCTTAGAGACTGACCTAGATAAACCATCAGCTTGTGGAACTGGATTACAATGGGAAGAGTGTAAAGTGTCCTTTGTCCTATGTACACATGGCTACCAGGATGACCCCTGCCTTATGAAGAGGCCTCATTGTCTTGTAAGAGGAGCTTGGGATTGATGGTCCTCTTCTCATACCACACAGTGGAACAGACTGCAGGCCCTCCAGTATGCAGTGTAGGAGTGGGTTTCCATGGTGATTGCATGTATCATCACTCACCTCGAGGTTGCTGCTGGATGCAGAAGTGGGAGCTGCTTGCCCTTGGCATGCTGCTCAGAGATCAGGTTGCAGCTGGCTTCTGTCTTCCTGCATAGTTGCACCTTGACCCTAGGACCAGAAGCATAGTGGGGCTGGAACACTAACCAAATTGGATGGCAAGGGCCCCCGACTTGGGAAACACTTTCATTTTCCTGTAAAGATTAAATTGAGCACTGTTCTATATTTCCAGGTTGAAAACTTGACATGTAGCTAGAGTAGTAGTTCTCAACCTGTGGGTGTTGACCCCTTTGAAGGTCAAACAACCTTCACAGAGGTCACATATCAGATACTTATGTTACGATTCATAACAGTGGTTAAATTAGTTATGAAGTAGCAATGGAAATAGTTTTATGGTTTCAGGTCACCACAACATGCAGAACTGCATTAAACGGTCCAGCATTAGGAAGGTTGAGAACCATTGAGCTAGAACAACACATACAGCCGCTGCTCCAGCCCCACCTTGTGGCTGAGGCAGAGGGATAATGGGTATCAGTTAGATGCTGACAGGACAGCTGAATAGATAAATGACAGTAGAAAGAGCCAGGGAACTGGAAACCAAGAGAGCAGATATACGGAGAGATGGCTTATCAGTTAGGAACAAGTAACTGAGTAGAATTTGGTTTCCAGAACTGCGTCTGGCAGTTCACAGCTGCCTGTCACTCCAGTTCCAGGGGGATCCCACATCCTCTTCGGGCCTCTGTGAGCACCTGCACACACGCACACAAAGCTTCCTCCCCAGTTCACATAATTACAAATAGATCTTAACCAAGCAGACATAAGATCACATAAGATGAGCATGCAAACCTGGAACTGTTGAACTTTATGGAGTGTATCTCTGAAGTTTAACAATGACCCTGATGGGTGTTGTATACTGTACACTCTGGCTCTTGTAGAGGAGTGTACCAGGCTGGGTAGCCAAAACCTTGGAGATACATTCACACAATTCTGGAGGTTAGAGAGTCAAGAACCAGATGTGGGTAAGGTTGGTTCCTTTCGAGACCTCTTTAATTGACTTGCAGTTAGAGGATCTGTACCAGAACAGACCATCGTGTTCATGGGAGGAAGAGAATAACATTACTGCAAAATGACCTGAAATTTCAAGGCATGTGGAGGGAGTGTGGCCTGGTACCCCAGTGAGGTCCCAAGAAGATGGCAGAAAAGAGATTCTCTCCACTGATGCTCACGGAGAACTGCAGTTTGGTGAGTAAAGAGACTGCAGAGTCGAGAGGACAGCCTGGTAATCTGGGTATGAGGTATGTCCTGTACGAGACAGCTCATCTTAGTCTGCATCCTATCTTTATGGCAATAAAGACTGACCAAAAGCAACCTGGGGAGGACATTGTTTATTTGATAACAACCCATCACTGAGGGAAGTCAGGGCAGGAACTCAAGGGCTGAAACCTGGAGGCAAGAACTGAAGCAGAGGCCATGGAAGAGTATTGCTTACAGACCTGCTCAATGGTTTACTCAGCCTGTTTTCTTATATTTTTGCCATTAGCCTAGCTTTTCACAGCTGAGTCATCTTCTCAGCCCCAGCCTGTTTTCTTGTACCACTGAGGACCATCTGCCTAGGGGTTGATGAGGGAAACCCACAGTGGGCTTTCCCTCATCAACCATATATCAAGCCAATCTGATGGAGGCGTTTTCCCAGTTGAAATTTCCTCTTCCCTGCTGACGTGGTCTTGCATCAAGTTAACAAAATACTAAGTAGCACACTGCTGTTAAAAATAACACACACACACACACACACACACACACACACACACACACACACACGGACACTGCACATTTTGAGACAAAGTCTCCCTATGTATCTGGGGCTACCCTTGAACTCAAGATCTTCCTGCCTCAGCATCCTGATGCTAGGATTACAGGCATGTATCACCACACCCAGCTACATATCTTAACCAACAAGCAGAGGTGGGTCACTTCTGATACTAAACTTTTTTTTTTTTTGAGACAGGGTTTCTCTATGTAGCCCTGGCTGTCTTGGAACTCACTCTAGACCAGGCTGGCCTTAAACTCAGAAATCCACCTGCCTCTGCCTTCCAAGTGCTGGGATTAAAGGTGTGTGCCACCACTGCCTGGCTGATACTAAACTTCTTAGACTCCATGGGATTGTGTGAAGATTTTTCACAAGTTCTCCTCCTAGAAACAGAATAGGAACCAACAGATTGTTATTCTTGGTCATAATGAGCAAGAGTTGTTGGGACTAAGCC